GGGGGGCGGGCAGGTCTTTGTGTTGTTTCATGGGGGGCTGGGTTTTTCTTTTTTTTTTTTTTTTTCTTTTTCCCCAAAGGCTTTAATCAGATCAAACATGTCCTGTCAAATAAGACGGCTAATTAATCAGTGGAGGGAGCAGTCGTCTCCTCTGACAGACGGAGGGAAGGAAGGATGCTGTTGGAGGCCCTTCCTCTCTGCGCTCCTCCTCCCTAACCTCCTCCTCTGCCGTCAGAGTGATGCAGTAACGCCGGTGGCCAAACACAGGAGTGTGTACAGATCCTCAAAGATGCTGTTTACCTGCGTCTGAGCTCAGTGTTCCAGCAGCAGCGGAGAGAAAAAGATCACTCAGGTTTTCATGGCTCTCATCTTTTCTTTTTTTTTTTTTTTAAGCCTCGTCTTCCAGGACAAATCAAACAACTCTGTCGTGTCGCTGTGGCTCCACTGATGATGACAAGGATATGATTGTGATTTAGAAAAAAAATTTTTTTTTAGTCAAACTCACCTCTGCACTTTTTGCAGTTTTTTTGTACAAAGTCTAGAATTTGTATAAAGTTTTTTGTATAAAGTCTAAAATGACAAATTAATACTGAGAGTGTTTACGCCCTTTGACCTTTAACCAGGGGGACGTGCCATTTGTGGCCCAGATCAGGCGGTAAAGAGCAGCACACCATATGTTGGGAAATTGAAAGTGTCAAACATCAGCTGGATCAGAGCCACAAATATTTATCCATCTGAGCCCCGTCACTCTCTGCCTACATCAGTGATCCACCAGGCATTAACATGCGGCGCAGGCCGTCGGCGGCTGTTATTGACAAGTCTGAGGATGAAATTTACCTTTGCATTAAGGCATTAGCCCGTTTACAAAGGCTGCCTCCGAGGATCAGTTCAAAATGATTAGTTAAATGCCATCATTCAGGGGACACTGGCTGCTGAGAATACAGACACCTGTGAGGAGCCGAGACCACGAGGTAAAGCATGTCAGAGGACCGCAGTACTGCGGGTTTGTTGGTTTGTTTTCAAACTGGATGAGGTTAAACCTGTGGTCTGGGGGCCAAAATGTGGTCCTTCATGTGATCTTACGTTATCACAGAGCTAACCTGTGACATTGACGTTGTGTTAGCTTACATACAGAGATCGCTAACCTGCTAACAGTCACAGTGTTGGTTTGAATTAGGCTTGGTCATAGTTTTGAGAGTTTGTCTAATTTGCATGATTTTTGGCTAGCGGCTTGACAAGCTAGCACCGTCTGATGTTGTAAATGTTGTTGACCGAGCTGTAAGCATCTGACTTATTTGTTTTAAAAAAATTAGCTCTTTTTTTTATCACATATGATCAAGGTGCTTCCTTTAAACTTGGAGGAAAAAAAAGTATTATTTTCAGGCAAACTCTTGGTTTGATCTCTTCGCCTGTAGCTGTGGTAACCATGGTGGCGCTACGGCCCACCTCTGTGGCTGAGCCACTACAGGGACCAGGCTGTTGTTTCCAGCTGTTTTGCTGCAGCAGAGCAAACCGGGCCCTGAGTTTCCTCAGGCTTAACAGAACCAGGAGCTGTGCAGCTTTCACCTGGCTCCCAGCAGCCCCCTGGGTTCTACAGAGAAAACAGTGCCATACAATATGCACTGCACAGCTTTACTCTCTGTGTTTCTGCCTGTCTATCTCTTGATCCTTTATCACACTGTTTGACATCTGCTGTAGAGGAAATGCACCCAAAGGACTCCACGCTGGATTTTTCAAATATATATATATATGTGTGTGTGTGTGTGTCTGGTGCAACATGAAATACACAAAATGCTGTGCTAAATTCTCTGCTCACAGTCAGGTGGTAAACAGAAATACACAAAATGTTCTGCTAAGTTCTCTGCTCACAGTCAGGTGGTAAACACACTGTTGATGTCGGTGTTTGAGCGGATGATTGTGTGAACGTGTCATAATGAGGTCAAATGTCGCGACAGATCAACTCTGTCGTGTGTGGCCTGAGAGTTCACCACACCAAGCTGATGCATTTTTAACATTATTCTTGCCCTCATCACTCATCCGGTGTTCCTTCTTCTCCCCTCTCTCACCCCTCTCTCACCCCTTGTCCCGTAAATTCACAGCAACAAGAGCAGGACCCCACCAACCTGTACATCTCCAACCTGCCCGTGTCTATGGACGAGCAGGAGCTGGAGAACATGCTGAAACCTCTGGGTCACGTCATCTCCACCAGGATACTGAGAGACGCCAACGGGGTCAGCAGAGGAGTCGGCTTCGCCAGGTAGGGAAACCACTGAGACACTGGACCTTATCACTCCTGAAAATACTAAGAGTCTAGATTAAAACAGATCCATGAATGATCTTAATGTGAAGTGAAATAATGGGAAAAAATAACAGGAAAAAACAGGACGAGTAAAGAATCATTCTAGTGTCTAGTTTTTACACAGAAAGTTAGCCAGAAACCTGTGAGAAATTAATAGCTAATGGCTAACTAAAATGTAAGGCATAAAGGCTTCAATGTTACAAAGGTTTGAAGTATGTTTTTAACCAAAAAAAAAATCCACAAAATCAGTGTTAGCCTAAACCATGTTAGTTGGAAAACGACAAAAAAAAAAAGCTGAACATGAGGTAAAACAAGGGAAAAAAAGCTGAACATGAGGTAAAACAACGCTTTTTTAGAATTAAAAAAAATTCTTTAAATAAATACAGTACAAATGCTAATTGAACAATTCAAGTCAAGTGCCATGAACGGACCCCGGACCAGACCAACTCAAATTAAGTGCCATGAACGGACCCCGGACCAGACTTTGAACATAGCTTTGTCCACACATTGATTGGTTTTCAGTGGAGGCTGAATCTGAAAGGCTAAAACAGAAATATACACCCATATATAAATATACACATATACAGCGCACTGTGTGTGTGTTTGTGTGTGTCACACTCACAGACTCTTTTGTGCAAACACACACACACACATTTATTCCATAAAGACTCTTGGATCCAGGGAGACACAGATGGATCCAGGCTGCAGGCAGTGAAAACCATTAAAGCTGATGTGTGTCTTTTCTTAGCCTCTCTGACTGTGCATCTGCCAGCCGACGACTTTCTCTTTATTTCTGCCACTACATCAAAAGCGCGTGGGCTGGTGTTGGTGTGCCTTTTAACGCCGCATTAATGCAAAGCAGCGATTACCTTTTGTCCTTACAGTACGCAGTTAAAACTCCTCTGTTTTCAGCCACCACACATTTTCACTGACTGGTTTATTTCCTTGTCTACTTTAAAAAAAAAAAAAAGTTTTCCACTTCTTATTGTTAAACCCCCAAAGTCATAAACTGCGGTGTCCTTGTCCTCGGCAGCAGCAGCATCAGCGGCGGCAGCATCAGGCACCAGGCCCTCCCTCCTCCACCCAACCCCACAACAACCACACCACGCACCCAGAGGAGGCCGCTGACGGCCACAGGACTGCCATCTTGCAGGGATTTTTTTTCCTAATCACCTGAACTCCTCTGCTGTTCCCTGCTCTGTTACCGAGGTTACGGCAGGACGGACAAACATCCACATAAACCAGCGTTCCTGCACAAACATAAACATATGCACAAATAGGCTGTGCACACAAGCGGGCGCCGATGGTGCGGTACTAACCACACGTACGCACTAACAGGTAGTCTGCCTCCTGTAGGCCGACAGGCAGAGCGCGGCAGCAAGCTGCCCCCGGCCACCTGTTCTAACCAGCCCTCAGTGGGGCGACCGGTGAGAGAGAGAGAGAGGAGAGGGGGCGCGGGGGGGGGGGGGGGAGAGAGAGAGAGAGGAGAGGGGGCGCGGGGGGGGGGGGGGGAGAGCGGGGGGGGGGGGGGGAGAGCGGGGGGGGGGGGGGGGGAGAGCGGGGGGGGGGGGGGGGGGGGAGAGCGGGGGGGGGGGGGGGAGAGCGGGGGGGGGGGGGGGAGAGAGAGAGAGAGGAGAGGGGGCGCGGGGGGGGGGGGGGGGGGAGAGAGAGAGAGAGAGGAGAGGGGGCGCGGGGGGGGGGGGGGGGAGAGAGAGAGAGAGGAGAGGGGGCGCGGGGGGGGGGGGGGGAGAGCGGGGGGGGGGGGGGGGGAGAGCGGGGGGGGGGGGGGGAGAGCGGGGGGGGGGGGGGGGGGGAGAGCGGGGGGGGGGGGGGGAGAGAGAGAGAGAGACGAGAGGAAGCGGGGGGGGGGGGGGGGAGAGAGAGAGAGAGGAGAGGGGGCGCGGGGGGGGGGGGGGGGGGAGAGAGAGAGAGAGACGAGAGGAAGCGGGGGGGGGGGGGGGAGAGAGAGAGAGAGGAGAGGGGGCGCGGGGGGGGGGGGGGGGGAGAGCGGGGGGGGGGGGGGGGAGAGAGAGAGAGAGGAGAGGGGGCGCGGGGGGGGGGGGGGGAGAGAGAGAGAGAGACGAGAGGAAGCTGGCGATGGAAGGATCCATAGTAGACGGATTCAAAAAGTGGGAAAACAGAAAGGAAAAATCCGTGTTGTTCAGTGGTGACAGGAGCAGACGAGGTCAGGGTCATGAAGCCAACAGCAGCGGCTGGTGATGATCATGGAGGGGAAACAGTCACAGCTCGGCTCGTCTGTTTGTTATCTTCTGTTAGAGTCAAGAATGAGCTGACCTCTGTGTGACCTTTGGTCTGAATATGGACTTGAATTCAGGACCACCTGGAAGACCTGACTAAAGATTAAATATTAACACCGTTGTGGCAAAGCTAACAAAATTAACCAGAATCAATTTAAAAATTGCTAAAAAGTATTAGTTTAAGAACATTAGTTAAAAAGGTTACCGCTGTGTTAACCAGATATTAACCAAAGATTTATTAAAACAGCAAAAGAATAAAAATTTGCCAAGAATTAGTACCAAAATAAATCAGAAATATATACTAAAAGGTCACAAAAACAGCTAAGCAGTAGCTGCTAACAGCTAAACCTTAACTCCGGTTGGTTAAAAAGTAGATAATAATAAATTCATTAACATGAGATTGGAAAGCTAAAAAAATAAATGGTTAAAATCTGAGAGGAGGCTGAAAGCTAAGACCTAATGGTGTTTTGTAAATTTCCGAGCTTTTGTTAGCTCAGAGGGCCGGACGGACAGACAGACAGCTGCTGAGGGCTAAGCCACGAGGAGCATTACAGAGAGTAAACCCAGCTAAGTGTTTGTGGGCTGATCCATTACTGATATCAGAGCCCATTACTGCGGCCCCAGCACTAATCATGGCAGACAGCAGCACCTGATTCCATTAACCAGCAGCAGCACAGAGAGAGAGAGAAACAACAATGCTCTGCTGCCTGACTGGCTCCACTACTCACCCCCACTACTCACCCCCACCCCCCCAGCAGAGCTCTGATTGACCAACAGACGATTTGGCTGAGCTGAGTTTGCTTCTCGGTGACGACCCAACAGCCTGTTTGCATTGTTTACTTCATGCCTGCCCAACTGTTTCCTGTCTGTGTACCTGCCGTGCTGCTGGACAGAGTGAAGCTCAGACGGCGTGCGGTCAGAGGGAAAACAATGAAGAGCGAGAGAGGAGGAGGAGGAGGGGGAGGAGGGGAGGCTAAGGGGGAAGTCAGGATGATGGCAGAAACTGAGCATAAACTCTCAAAGTCAGAAAAAAGCTGACATTGTCCCTATTTATAGAGCGTATATAAGAAGCGGACATCACTGCTCAGATTATGTCTAAAACGGAGAACAGGACCAGACCAAGAGAGGAGAGAAAGGGGGGGAGAAAAAGGAAAGGCTAAAAGAAAGATTATTATTGTTTCTTTTGATATTTATTAATATTAAACTATTGTAAATACAAAGGACAAGAGCGAGGACAGCGGTCTAGGCCTAGAACAGAATAACTATGAGTAAAGGTTCATTTTGAGTTTTTGAAAGCCGTCGTTGAACCACATGCATATTTTCATAAACATGGTTTTAGCCCCACCTCTGGAAGCTATCAGCGGTTGCGCCACCTCTAATGTGTGGTACAGTGAATGTAAATGCTTCAAAGTTTTTCAGCAGTTGATAGGTTCACCCCCACGGTCTAGGCCTACAGCAGCAAAACCACAAGAAGGACCAGGATAATCTAATCTAATCTAATCTGATCTGATCTGTCTTTACTGCAGGATGTTTTTAAAGAAAAAGTCCAACTTTAGAATGTAGCGACAGCGTTGTACGTGGACTGTTTTGTCAGCCCGACAGTCGTGAGGTGCGGCCAGCGTGTGGAGCTGTAGCAGAGGGAAGTGATGGAGACGTGATTGTGCTTCTCATGCAGATTCTCTTTGTGTGGCCGACCTGCCTCCGAGCACGGAAGGCTTTGTGCCGTTGTGAGTTATTGGCCCGTGTGCGTAACTGCAGTAAAGCTGTGTGTAAACATGGATTAGCAGCATGAATCCTCGCGTGCTCAAAGGCAAACAGATCATGTGTCGACATAAAAGCAGGCCCACGTATCCACGTGCGTTCAATAAAGCTTTATCGCCGGCGTTATTGTGATAGTTAAATAATTTATAGACGTCCAAATAAAGTAGTGAAAAATAAGACGAACAAAAGATACAACAAATATGCAAGAAAACGATAGAAGAAAGATGTCATTGGTTCTCATGGTCATGTAAGTCAAGTTCTGTGAAACTAAACTGGTTATGATGTACAGAGCACCAACGGTTGCTATTAGTTATTTCATGTTTGTCGTCGCTCCTTTGCGATTCATTTATTTATTGTCCATTATCTCTGTAATGAGGCTGTCATTCAGAAAATAACATTTTCTTTATGGATGATTATCTTGAACAGACAATTACATTTCACTCAATCCACTGGTTTCGTAATTGAATGCTAACAGTTTACCGCTGCTTCAGCCTCCAGTCTTAGCCTCACATGTATCGACTGTGGTTTATAGGAAACATAGACACGTGTGAAGTAGTTGACCGTCGTCATCAGTCAGAGGAGAGATGATTTTTATTTTTTTAAATATTTTAGAGCAGCCACACTTCAGGTTTCGTCGTCCTTGTTCTCCCTCCACAGTCCACATTTTCTGGGATTGGGATTACAGGGTGAGAACAGTTGGTCTCTGCACGTGACCCAGTGATGGACTGGACTGTCTAGGGTTAAGCCCCGCCCTCACCTGAGGACCGTTTAGACTCTGTTCCTCATTGGCTGAGCTTTCAGTAACTCATTATGAACCTTGGTTCTAACCTGACAGTCCCGTCGGTACACGGTACTGTTTGTGTGTTCACAGACCGTGGCCATAACTTTGCTGCGTCACCTCTACTTGTTATTGTCAGCCGTCCTCGGACCGACTGGAGGAAACAAAAGAGAAGAAAGAAAAAAAAAAAGAAAAGTCTGGTTGGCGATGGTGAAAGATGGATGATCCCAGGACGTGTGAGGGATTAGATCTTCTTAGAGGAGAAATGGGGAGAGGATAAAGGGTGAGAGATGTTTATGGGGATAGGGCATAACGCAGAAGCTAAAGGATGGACAGAAGGAGGGGTAAAAAGGAGGGCAACCAAAGTGAGAGAGATGGGCTGGGAGAGAGCGCAAGTATTACAGTGAGAGATGGGGGAGATGACCAAGGTTGAAAGATGGGGAGGGATGAGAGAGACGTCAAGAAGAAGGGGTGCAGACAGGCCTGGAGTAAGATGGATGGGACGGGGGCAGCGATAAAGAAGCTATGCAATATAAAAAAAGAAGGATGGAGGTAGGAATAGGAGAAGGATGAGAGACAGAGGGCAGAGAAATGAGAGGCTGACAGAATAATATGAGTTTTTCAGGAGTTAGGAACGAAGGAGGAATAAAAGACGGCGTGGAGCAGGAGAACATCGCCATAATGGGTTAAGAATCAATCAGACCTGCATTTAAAATCTGTCACAGATGTAATGTGATCATGTTGAATAATGTGCTAACATACGGTCCTGTCGTGGAGCTGATTTCTGTGTGGGATGATTGTGCTGCTACTGGTGAGTTTCATTATCCATAAAGAAAATTAGATTTATGAACGGAACGGCATTTAAATGATATGGAACAAAAGGACGGAGGGAAATCCAACGGTGTCTGGTGTCAACGAAGGTCACGCCAATTCAGTCTAACAAAGTCGAACCCACTCTGTAGAGACTAACTAAAGATGGATTAAAAAAAAAAAAGCTAAAATATATTTTTAAAATATTAAATGAATTAAAATTAAATTTAATATTAGAAAAATATTAGAAAAATATATTTAAAAAAATGATTATCAAAATAGCAAAAAAAAATTCACTTATGTACCTGTGTTTGCAATATTTTATGAAATATTTTATTAACCTAAATTTGATGTCTGTAAAAAATATTTTTGTCTTCATTTAATATTACTTTTCCCCACTTCACTCCTACTTTCACTGCTAATCTAAATGAATATAATTTTCTTTTTTTTTCTTTTTATTTGAGAGATACACATCGCACATCTCACAGTGTTACAGTAAAGAAGCTGTTAAAAAACGAGCGCGTCTGCAGCTCGGCGGCTGTAACTACCACCTTTCCCTGTAAAGTGGTAGCACCGGCTCAGATTGATGTCGAGCCGTTTCTCCAGCCTGAAGCACAGTCGCCCATTACCTGTGCCTGTCATTTTGTATGGGACCATAAAGCCCCCCTCATTTGTGCAGTAGAACTGGCCAGTATATCAAAGTACACACCGCGCTCAACAAACATATATATCTTTATATATTTTTTTTATACAAACCCCCGTTTTTAGAGTAGTTGGCACAGGTTCTTAAAATGCAATAAAAACTGTAATCTGTAATTTGGTTTTACAATAGAAAATCAGACAATAACAAAGTACGTGTCGAAGACAAACTGTGGAAATGGACGCCTGTGGTATACTGTACTGGAGTGTACTGTACTGTACTGTATATTGTACTGCAGTATACGCCAAAGTTAGAACAGAGACACAGGGACATTGAAGGAGAGTCAGGCTAAGTCTTTAGCCGCTGCTCATACAACAAATATGTAAAAAAAAATCTCATTGATGCAGAGGATGACATTGAAATGTACGAGACAGATACAGGTTTTGTTTTTATTTTGCAGCAGTTAAACCAGCATGGTTTAGTAGTGAAGTGAAGTGTGACCTGCCTGCAGTCCAGATCTGTCTCCTGTTGATAGCGCCTTATGACAATAACAGCAAAAATCACTGTAAATCACTGACAAGAAAATAGGCAAACTTTAATTGAACTTCTTGAAAAAAAATCATTGAAGGTCACATCAATTTTAACAATATATGTATACATGTATCGTGCACCACTACATTGCCATATTATTCTTGTCATGTTTTGAAAAGTCTGATCTTTCTGAAAGTCTATTTTTTTAAACTCAGTTTCCCTTTTGTATGGGTTACAGGATGGAGTCCACAGAGAAATGTGAAGTAGTCATACAGCATTTCAACGGCAAATACCTGAAAACTCCACCAGGCATTCCAGGTGAGTCTCACTCTCTTCAACTCTTCGCCCCCTCCCCGTCCCCCCATCCGCGCCCCCTCCCCCCTCGCCCACCCTTCATTCTTTCAGCCTTGCCTGAAAAAAAAAAAACTTCACCTCTGCGATGAGGAAACCTCCTTTCTAATTCCATTATGGTAATTTCTCATCTGTGATCAGCCGGACAGCTTGATAGATTACACACAGCGTTGTTTCTGACACCTGAAGGTAGCTGGGTTACCTACGGCTGAGTGGCTGATGGTCCGACATCTCTACCTCTGCCTCTCTGTTCTCTGCTGCTGTCACCTTCCCTCTGCCTCCGTGGTTTCTGCTGCCGCCGCTGCTGCCGCAGACGGAAACTTCTCGGGCAGAAGAAAAACCCGTTTAATATTCACAATCATGCCTCTGTGCTGTTCTTGCAATCTACTTAAGAGCTTGCACTCTCCCCTCTTTCCTTTTTCTGTTCAGACACTGTTGCTGTGTCCTCTACTTCCACTTTTTTTTTTTTTTCATTCTTCTTTTTCCTGTCGGCAGAGGAACATGCTGGCCAAGGAGAGAACAGGCAGGGAAGTTTAAAAAAAAAAAAAACAGAGAGAGAGCGAGAGAGTGTGAATGTCAGGAAATCAAGGCACTTGTAGAGACAAGATAGCGCCACTTGGTGTGCTAGCGCAGAGATTTGTCATTTTCCTCCTGTGCCCAAAGTGCCAAGCCTGTCCCGGAAAGTTTGAGCCACACGGAGTCAAAGAGTGGCCAATGTTAGACAGAACACAGCCACACGTCTCCCGGGGATTAGGGGGTGACAAGAGGTGGGAGGAAAAGGTAAAGTCTGGAGTGGAAAAATGCTGAGCGAGCTCTTCACTGGCCAGGTGCTGCTGCGCCTGAAACCTTCCCATGTCTCCCAGCAGGATATGCAGACCGTACGGGGGCAATGCTAAGTAGATCTTTCTCCCCCCCCCCCGGGGCAGTTTTATTAACAGTACTCACACCTCCACCCGGTGGCAGAGAACCAGCAGAGCCATAAATTGTTCTGCAGATAGAAAGTGATCTCCAAAAAGAGACGGGGTTTTTCAGACTGAGAATCCCCACAAATGCCCTGGTTTCTGCATAGCCAGCAGCCATTAAAGGTGAGGCGAGCGGTGGGTGTCGGAGCTGAGCCGTAACAGGAAACCTTTAAAACTGTAATATCAGGCTGACCTTCCATCTCCCAGCTGCTCCACTTTTATTATTGTTAATCGATTGTTCTGGCCTGTGCCAAGCATCGAGATTTACTGCCCTCTGAACTGAGAGCAAATCCTGCTGTGGATTCAAGAGCTGGTAGGTTTACAAAGTCGGCGGTGGTCAGGCACCGCTGAGGGTCCCTCCTAAAGGGTCCATGAAACTGAAGGTCCACAAATCAGTTGGATCGTCAAAATAAATCTCTCCTCCCTCGTGGTGGCTGCGGTTCTTGAAAACACACGGTAGGGAAACAGGAAGTGGAAATAATGTTGGTATAACTTATTAAAATGAACATGAGGAAAAGAAAATGAAAGAATTTTTTTTTATATTTATTTCCTTTGGTGAAATAAATATAATAAAAAAATATTGTAACGCATTCAGGATTCAGGGATCTGGATTCCCTTTAGCCTATGACAGTAGAGGCATCATTGTCAAGGCAAGTTCACCTCTGTCTGGATAATGTACCTAACTTCAGTCAGCCAATCAGAAGCGAAACAGTCATGTGGCCACATGTGGTGTTAGCGTTAGCTGCTGCTAAGTCAGTTTAGCCCTGTGTTTTTTTTCCCTTCCTTCTGCAGAAGTCTATGCTGTCACTACCCCTGTAATTAACCCAGTCACTCAGAGCGTGGCATTAATTAGTATAAATGTGTTAATTGGTGGACGGCACGTCATAAATACTAACCCTGAGACTTTTCAAAAATATTTTTTTACTGTGATTCTGATTCCACGGTCGTGTAAAGAATCATGAGAACTGGGCGTTGTCCCAGCTTTCAGTCACCGTCTCTGTGCGTCAGGGAACTCTCTGGACGTCCCTCTCTTGTCAAACTTGAGTCTTGTCTCAGCAGAGAACCCTGGAATGTGTTCTTTCTCCGCCCGGAGACAGTGACGAGGCCCGTGGACGTGTGTTTGTACAAGTTCGCCCGTCGTTTGTTCTTCCACAGCCGCTCGCCGTGGTGTATTTAAATGTATGTATTTTTATAGCAGGGGAGCGTATATGCTGTTGGTGTGTGTGTGTGTGTGTGTGTGTGTGTGTGTGTGTATAAGTCATGTTGGTGGTATTTCCCCAGAGCCCTTTGCTATGCAGGGCAGCTTCTTCATCCATCCATCGTTGACAGCTCAGCGGCACCCCCTC